TTTTTTTGTATACTCGAAGGTATGGACGAGTGTTATTTGTTGACCCTCGAGGTGTGTCGGTTAAATACTGTAAAATAAATGGCTTTTTATTCTCTGTTTTCAATATTCCCCAACGTGGTGCTCTTTAGATATGTAGAGTATAAGTTCCTCTCTTTATTCAAGGTGTTGGGTGGGAATGATGGAAGTTGCAGTTCAATACATACGGGAAAATAGGTCCAAGAAAGTGACGCACAGAGATATACGAATGTTATATATGATTATAGAAGCCAAGGGTGTTAAGTATTGAAAAATAATGACTCACCTTTATGATTTAAATGGAGTATTTGTTCTGTGTAGGGAAGTGATTGGGCTGGGAGAGGTTGCAAAACTTTTTAAACACAGAGGAAAAAGTTGAAGTTCTTTCTGTAATTTCCAATTCTTCCCTCCGTTTGCTTCCTTGAAGTAATAAGGTAAGGGAGACATCTAAGATAGGGAAGAATCAATTAATCTTACCAACTAACTAGTATTTGCAATTGAGATGGAGATATTTTTTTTAATGTTTTGTCATGTCGCTGTGTCCAGGATTAGGTGCTCCTTAAGTTTAAACTCTTGCAAAATATTAAAAAGAGTTTCAGCATGAGGAGCCAAACCTATTCAAAGGTTATTTCTTCATAGGGATAGTACCTCACCTGTTTATTCCCTAAACCAACATGCCACTTGAGAACAAATTCAGAATATGCTGATTAGTGTGTAACTTGTGTTGCTGGTGTTAGAAGAAAAATCCTGAGCCTTGACCAAAGGCAGAACACAGAAAAAGAAAGAGGAAATGCTTTGGGATTTATTGCAGTCAGGAAAAAGGTAGGCTTTCTTATCTTTGTGCCAGTAGAGAACAGACTTTCTCAAAATATTTAGAAATAGATGCACAGAACGAATGGTGCTTCCCCCCCCCCCCCTTTGCTCATGCACCTGCTTAATATAGTCTATCTGCTGGAATTAAAAGGCAAAGTACCATGGTCCCTTGAAGAATATGTTCTAAGGTGTGATTGACAGAATAAACTTGACAAGTTTCGGGATGGCATGGCTCCACAGAGAGCAGTTTTCCCTCTTGAGATGGGGAGTTGAAGCTTTCCTGGTGTCTTTTGAACATCAGAAGATAAGATTTTGTCAGCTCTGTCACAGGAAGAAGAGTGGGATTCAAATGTGAATGGAATGGGTATGTTGTTGTTTGGGAAAGATTGTTGTTTATCTGAACACCAGGCTCACTTTGAGCTTATTCATTTCTAACTTTGATCTGTTAAGATGAAAATGTCATATACATACATCTGCATACTTCCTTGTCTCCTCTGTTCTATGTGTAGGAGATAAAATAGTGAGCTTGACCAGATATTTTGATGACCTGAGGAATTTAACTGAAAAACTCCCCATCAAAGGAGTAATTTATAATATATTGAATATCACATCAAGAACTTTCCCCCTTTGAAGGGTCTCATGAATGGAGTGGAGATTTAATGCATGGGAGAATGCTTCAAAACAAAATGAGCAACCCTGACTCCAAGTTGGTGTTGATATATCAAGACATAAGCTTGGCTTTGGCATAGTGTGTGATTCTTTGTGAATCCAGTGAGTTGTGATTTATTGCTGAAGAAGCACTACAATGATTAAAATTTAGTTTCATCTGTTAACCACACCCTGCCTGCATAGGTGTTGATCAATAAGCCAATGTATTTTGAAGGTGCCAATTTGGAAAAGGCTGAAATATGAGGTCTTTACAGAACAATTGCAATTTATTGTATTGCACACAGTTGACAAAATGAGAAACAGCAGGAGAAAATTCTGAAAATGTACATTAAACTGCAAAGATAATTTTGAATTGGATTAAGGAAGAAAAATAACTGATAATTATCTTAAACTTGTAATGTTTATAAAATTAACCATGTAATTATTTTGAGTTGTTGATATTAACAGTTTAGTCCAGTTTATATAATTCTGATTTCCAAAATTGATGGGATTTGTGCGTGTGCAATTTTGATTTACATATAGAAATTGAAGCTTCTTAACATAGCAATAAAGTTCTTGTATTTTCTGTGGCCAAATCACTCTGTTAATGTTGTTGTCTTTAAATTCCCATACCCCTTATACCAAATTATTTAGTTTTCAATTAGGTAATTTTAAAATTATTTATACCGTAAATAAAATGTGAATGTGAAATGTTGTCTTGGAGTTAAAGAAGTAGGAAACCAGTTCTCTATCTCTCAAAGGTAACAGGATTGATTTTTTTTGAACATCTGTTATCCACCTGTTCTCCATATTCCATGTGATATCCTAGGGTAGCTTTCTCCATTGTGATATATTCATACTATCTTGGATGATGATATATTAAATTTATATGTCATCCAACTTTGAATGTGCTATTTGGAAATTTTGGAACCTCCATATATTTTCCTTATCTGGAAGGCATCTGGTTGGGAAAGGCTGCTTTTTATATTTATAGACATTGCATATAGTCTTCCCTTGCTTTTTTAAGTGTTTAGATACAAGTCTTGTATTCTGAATGTATGCACAAGGATCCCAAAAGGCTCTGAATGCAAGAAGCACACCTGTTGCTGTAAAAAACTTGCATGCAGAGTTCTCCCTAGAGATACAGGTCCCAGCAAGCAGGTCCCAGCGGGAAAATGACTGGGAATTGCTTTTCTCTTTTGGATAGAAGAAAATAAACAACCGCCACCAAAATGTTGCATTAATTGATTTAGAAGATGAAATATTCTTCAGTTTTTAACCACAGCTTCAGCATCTGATCTCTAAATTTGCAATTCATACACCAGGAAAGAAAGAGAAAAAAGAAAAGGCCGTTTCTGAAAAGTGAGATAATTTCTCACACAGCTCATGAAATCATTAAGTTGTAAAATGATCCGTGAACCTGATCTGAAATTCAGGAGAGTACAAAGGTTGACATCTGAATGAAGTCTTCTTGTGCTGCAAGTATAACACATTAACAGGCCTTTGAAAAGTGATACTTTGCTGTCCAATCTACTTTATGGAACAAAAGATCTCCCAACTGCAGAACACTGTTATAAATTCTTGATGGCTATTTGAACGTCTGGTGGATCTCTCTCTCTCACACACACACACTTTTATAGAGTTGCACCTTTTTTAATCACAATTCCTAAAATGGATTTTTAAAAAATAGTAGAGGTGTCTGTATTGGGAAGTGAAGCAGTGGAAACAATGGAAGAGATGATAAACTGTTTCAGTTGCTACTTTCTCTCTAGGTTGAGATTAGGGAAAAATATTGTAAACCTTTTTTAAAGAACATATAATTAGTGCTTTAAGACAAAGAGTTGCTGATTTAATATTCTTGATGTATGAGTCCTTTCACAACTGAATCTATGAAGTGGCTTAGTTGTTAGACAGCTTATTTCATTCTGTATTTTAGTTTGTTACATGAAAAACCACAACACTCTCTTAAGTTGCTGAATATCCAAGAGGCCAAACCAGTAACTGTAAAAGTTCAAAAACAACACAATTGAAAAGCCTTAGTGACCTTTTTCGATTTCCACAGGGAATGAATTATTTTGAAATATGTTTTGCTTAGAACTGAACGGTTAAGTAACTTTCTTATGAAAGTTATTTAAGTTTCTCATTTTGTCTACACCTTGGAGGGAACTTTGTTCCGTACATATTGGCTGTAAAGTTTCACTGAACTTCAGGAAGACAGTAATTTGGATCCATCTTTACTTGTACTTATCATAAAATGCATCCAACCAGAATTTAAAGATTGCTTTTATATGTGCTAAGCTATAATATCGTTCAATTCGTTCAGGTTTGTAGGACTGTGTAACCCCAGCCATGGTAGCTTGTTAACAATCTTTTATGACTTAGCATTTCTGATCTTTTTCAAATGTGCCTTATTTAGCAAGTTATGGTTAACTAAACTGACTTAACAGAAATGTTACTATGTAAATTGTGCTTAACACAGAGAGATATGCACTGGAGAGTCTTGCTACTGACTAATAAGGTGGAGAAAAAGCAGCAAAAAACTTAGGAGGTAAGCAGAAACTATCCCAATCTGTAAAAATAGAAGGACATATCTATGTACATTCATAAACCTAATCTGAAGTCTGGGAATCAAGCAGAATCAAAATCACTAATTTGCTTAACACTTTGCTTAACAACCACAATTGGGACCAGCAACTATGTTTCTAAGCAATACGGCTGTTAAATGAGACATCACATGACCACAACTGATTTACAACCCCACTTCCGGCATCATAAATAGGCTTGACACAATGTGATCATGACTTTCTATTTTATTGTCAGCTTCTCCATTGACTCTGCTTGTCAGAAGCTGGTTATGAAGCATGGAAATGGTGATGGTGTGACTGTGGAATGCTGTGATGGTTGTGAAGTGCCCAAATCTTGATCACATGACTATGAGGATATTGCAACAGTCGTGTGAGTTAGTTGTAAGTTGTGA